AATAAAAGGATAATATGCAAATTGTCCCTACGGGCGGGAGTTTGACTGACAGGGAGTTACACGTGCCCTGACAATCAGGGGGCGGTGCAGAACATGGTGAGATTTGGCGATGGGGCAGGCAGCCGGGGGAAGGGAGACTCTGGCCGGCTGCCGGCAGCTGCTAGGGACCCATGCATGAATTTTGTGCACTGAGCCTCTAGTATATAGATAATAGAAGATCATTAGATGAAAAAAAATTACTGAAGTATAGATTGGATTGGGTGTTTTTATGGAATCAGGAAAAACCTAATGTTTTCTTTCCAGAGAATGTAATTGCTATTTGAAATCTGAGCCACCACTTACGTACTGTCCCATTTCCTTTGTGTCAGAAGAACAGTAATGTACCACCTGCTCAGGCAGGTCGGACACCAGGGTGACATCCTTGCATGTGTCCTGGTGTTTTTATGAATAGACTTGTATTCCTAATATCTTTGGTAGTTTATTTTTGCTCAAAGAAACTAATTATATATTAGGAACTTAAAATGATTTTTTTCAATAGCTATAATGTTAGAGATAATGCAGTTATGTATTTGTGAGGAATTTCAATTGTGAAGAAACAAATTGCCATTAAGAAAGGTTGAAACATTGAATGATCTGGCTTATTCTTAAAAAGAAAGCGAAAGATGCAGCTAGATTGAGCGGAGTACGTTACTATGCTTAAATATGTGTCTGTTTGGACTAGTCCTCAGAGGTTCAGCTTTAAGCTATTAGCACAGCATACTCTTAGGTTCCCTAGGAAACAGTTGCCTAAGCGATATGCCAAGGATGTTAAGGCTTTTTACAATCTTTAACTTTTACCCAGATAGATAGTGGTTTGCCTTTCTGTCGCACTTGACCCAACATGTTGCCAGTGTTGTGTGGGTGTGTGCCTCTCTCCCTCACATATCAAAGAGTTTCCCTGTGGTCTGGTGTTCTGCTTATGGTTTTATCCTATTATTTGGCACAACTGTGCCTTATTTTTCCAAATGGCTCTGATATAGCAGTGCCTATATTTCACAGACCTTGAGTATTTAGATTAAAGCACATGTTACTGGTGCAGGATGGGGAAACCAGCCTTTGTGTTTAAGGCATGTACCTCAGTTGTAGTTATTCAAAGGTTGCTTTGTATCCAGTTTATTTATACACACACAGATTTCAAATGATTAGCTAAGACAAAAAAAATCCCTCTTCTTTGAGAAATCTCCATGTTATTAGCTGTTTCTGACTACATCATTGGTTATGAAAGAATTACTGTAGATGTCATTTCATTATTAGGAGGCCATGGTGTCACACTTTTCTCACACGTGACACATTCATTATTGCCTAATCCCAATCTTTGTTCCTTTTCCCTTTTGCTTTTTCAAAAATATCAAAGGGATATAATATAGATTATGTATGAGTCAGCTACTTCACACATTTAGTTCTGTGAGGGATAACCCCAATGGTTTTGAGTTACAAAAGCAGCAAGCCACATTACCTCAAATTAATGAACATTAGTATATTAACTAAGGGAGGACCTATTGCTTTTATCCAATTAAATAATTTAAATGTGAAGTAAGACTGTATTATACATCTCAAGTCAATTTGTAATTTATTGCCATAGTTTTACTTAGTTGATGGCATAGCCACCAACTTAAAGCATTTATTCTTATTATGTTGTGATTTTTGAATAGGTACTTTAGTTTTTGTTTACTTGTCAATATTGTTACTTTTCATAGATATTATAGAAGTTTGTGAAAAAATTTCTAGTGAGCTGTGAGTTACAATGTCAGAAACAGTTATTGCCATCTTAACTACTAGAGCAGGCCCCATATGCAAAGAATTGTAAGGTTGGGTTGGTCCAACTCTCTAGCAGGCTGTAATTTAAACAAGTAAAGTGACCAAGACACACAGCCTAGTTTACTATCAGACATCTAGTAGGCACTTAGTGAATGTTTGTGATTGACTAACTGTACAGAGATATCGATCCAGATAGACATCTGTCTAAGATAGATTTAGCATTTATGCCACTCGCATTATCCGGGTTCTCTGTTTGCTGTGACTGGACGGAAATCACTAAGCAGTCACTTCTGTCCTGGAGACAGATGTCCAGAGCAGTCGGTGGCACTGTTGGTGTAGGACAGCCACTATGCCTGTGTGGCTACTGCTGAGCAGCAGGCTGGCTGGGGGAGCTGAGGAACTGGAGTTTTAATTTACTTGTTTTGAATAATTTCCATTTAAATAGCCACCTGGGGCTGGAGGTTCTCCTGGGGAAGGCCAAGTGACAGCCCAGGGAAGGTCTGGTTCTCAGTGCCTCATGTCACCTTCCATTCCAGCTTTATCCTCTGTTACATGTTGTATCACAAGTTGCTTACCAGTGAGGAAATCGAGTTTAAAAAATATCCTTCCCCCAAAGACAGAGAAACAGCGATCAGACTATCACTTCCCAGAGGGAAAGTAGGGGAGGGAGGGGGTAAGGGGAAGAGATCAACCAAAGGACTTGTATGCATGCATATAAGCCAAACCAATGGACATGGACAACAGGGGGATGAGAACATGGGGGGCGGGGGGGTAATGGGGGGTATAAGGACACATTTGTAATACCTTAACTAATAAAGAATTTAAATAAATAAATAAACAAACAAATAAATAAATAATAAAAGAAAAAAAAATCCTTCCCTCTCCCTGACCATCACCTAGCACAGGTGCAAATAAACAGTGTAGTGTCCAAGGATGGAATGTAGGGGAATCAAAAAACTGGACTAATCCCCATTCACAGTCCCTGCTGGCGGTGGCTGGGCCTGAGCTATCCCTTGTGTCCCACGATGGAATGAGCTCTACAGCACTTCCCAGAAGGGTCTTTCTGCCCTGTCACTAAACTAATGGAACGAGAGGGCGAATCATTTAAACTCTAGGAGCCTCTGTTACCTGAATAAAAACTGAAGATGTGGCTTTTTCCAGCTTTAAAGGCGATTCATTTGGCTGGAAGGAAAGCACTGTGTACATTCAGGGGTGATAGGCTTAGGAGAAAGACATCTGTGTAATATATTCAGGGGTCATTGTTCCATTGCTGTAAGAGGACCAAGTCTCAGTGCCCATGAAGGTTTGACTAAATGGGTCATACCTCTCCACTGTGAATTTCTTTCTCTCTAACAGTTATAAAAGTAGTCCTTTAGAATACCTGTTTTTTATAACCAACTTTGAAATCCAAACTAAGGGTGGAAAATAGATTTTTTTCAATGCTTCCAGAAATAATTTATAGGGGGGAGAAGAAGTAAGGGAGCATTTCTAGATTTTAAAGTCATTTATGGAAACGGTTAGTTCATAAATCCTGAGGTTATTGAGGCAGTTACTTGTGTTAACTCTGTAGGGTTACTTAAACCACTTTGGTTACATGAATTAAGGGGCTGGTTTAGAATATTAGCACCATCTTTTGAGACTTAGTAGAAATATTTGATAATCTTAACTATTATATAAGGTGGCAAGAAGAGATTCAAAATGGAGAGAATGTGGGACAGTTTTGATTGTTGTAAGATTGGGGCCTAACTCCTCCCTGGAGTGCTGGGCTCCGATTAGTGGTGGGGTTTTTTGTGGCACCCTATGAAGGGGCTCATTGTTGAGCCTTCATCTACGGGGGCCTGTGGAGGGAAGGCTGTCACTGTTGGTGAGATGACTCTCTTCTTGCTCGTCCTCCCACTCCTTTCTGTGTTTCTGTACAGGGTGATGTTGGGCTTGCGATGGGTAAACTGTATGGAAATGACTTCAGCCAAACTACCATCTCTCGCTTTGAAGCCTTGAACCTCAGCTTTAAGAACATGTGCAAGTTAAAGCCACTTTTGGAGAAGTGGCTCAATGATGCAGGTGGGTGAGAAATGGCCTCATTGCCTGTGGGGATCTTACAGGGGCTGTCATATAGAAAGGGGTTCAGATTTCTTACTGTATTATTGGCGCTATTGAGCCTTGAGGTGCCCCAGTCTTGGGAGGATTCAAGGGATAAGTTATGGTTCTATAAATCAGAGATTCGATTAAGTAGTAATTGCAATGCACACAGTCACCAATAGTTTTTAGTTTTGGAACATTTCCAAAGGGTTAGGGGCAGTTGCAGGAAGAGGAAAAAAAGAAGTTGAAAAACCAAGTTTATTGGTTCTTCCTTGATGAATTATAGTAAATTTGTTCTTGATGATACTTCTGCTTTTGTTACTAAAAACGACTACATAGTTCATTCATGAGATGTTGAGTGGCCAGTGTTAACTTGTGTGTTTTGTATTGAGGTTTCCTTTTGGGAAATTTGAATTTTGAGTCACAGAACCACAGACTGTGGGCTGCAAGGAAAGTGCAGATCCCCTAGATGGCAGTTCCTGTTTAGATGGGAGCAAAACCAGGTCTTTGGAAAAGTTAGACTGTGACCCCCTCCCTCAGACAGTCTGATTCCATGGCCCTGTACCCTTTCTGAGCTCCACAGGTGAGAACCGCCTCTCTGCCCTTCCCTCCATGTGCATGGAGTGGAAAGAGTCTCAGAGCCAGTTCCGAGATGCCCGGGGTCATTCAACTATTAATGACAGAACCTTGCTTGTTTCAACTACCAAGAATTTAGAAGTATTTCATTCTTGTTTGGTTTGGCGGAGGTGTTGCCCTAGATTATACTACTAAAATGAGAGGTCTTTTGCGAGATAAATATTAAATGTTCAATAATTTCCAACAAGCTTTCTTTTATCCCTAGAGCTAATGTATATATATAAAAGCCTAATATGCAAATTTTCCCCTTGGGAGTTCAACCGGGAGACTGGGAGTTCTACTGCACACTATGACGTGCGCTGACCACCAGGGGACGGTGCAGAATGAAGGAAGGCCCCGGCTGGCAGCCGAGGAAGGGGGCTGGCCTTTATTGTTGGCCAGGCCTAGGGACTCTACTCGTGCACATATTTCGTGCACCGGGCCTCTAATAAATAAATAAGTAAGTAAGCAAAACCAAAACATAAGGACAGAACTCAGAAGAGGTAGAGCTGAGTCTCAGGGCAGAAAGAGTAACCCTGTGCTTTCTCAGAGACAAGTCAGAAGGCAGTGGGGACAGACAGCCGACTGTTCTCAGACCGCAGCTAAAGTAGTGAGGAGCGCTGTATGTCCATGTGGGTTATGGAAACCTTTTCATGCTCTTGCAGCATAAACTGTCTTGGTCGCCTTTGTTATGTTGTGAATATGCGTGTTATGTGTGTGAAGTATGTGCAATTCCTTCGACCTCCTGTTTTCTCCTTTCTTACAGAGAACCTCTCGTCAGATTCAGCTCTCTCCAGCCCAAGTGCCCTGAATTCTCCAGGGCAGGGAATCGAGGGCTTGAACCGTAGGAGGAAGAAACGCACCAGCATAGAGACCAACATCCGTGTGGCCTTAGAGAAGAGTTTCCTGGAGGTTAGGGGGGATTGTGGGGATTTTACTTTTCGTGGGCGTGGGATTGTTGGCATGGTGCTAACGTTAGGTCTGTCAGCCACAGCCCTTATGGATGCTTATCTCATCGTGGAGAAAATAAGACAACCTAGACTGAGGCAGTAGGCTCACATCCACAGAGTCCTTCGTGTGACAGGCAGCAGCTGTCAAGGGGCACAGGGACCCCAGGCAGGGAGGCGCAGGGAAGAGAGCAAAGGCATCCAGGGAAACCAAGGGGTCAGCGCAGACACCGGTGGTTCGGTTTGGCTGAGTTCTAGTGTCTGCCTAGACCAGCAGTTTGGGACCAGGACACAGAGGGCCTTGAATGTCAGCCTATCGAGTTCAAGTTAATTCAACAGATACTTGGCTTTTGGGTGTGTTTTTTTGATTTTTGTTTTTATTTTTTAACCAGAAAATATCTCAATCAAAGCTTCCAACAAAATTCTGACTCTGATTCAGAGAGGCTTGAGCACTACGGGAGGAGCACTGAGTCAGGAGTCCAGCGTCTGTCACTTTAGGACCCGAATCCTTGATCAGTCACTGAGTCCCTTTATCTGGGAAGCATTTCCTATCCTGCCCCACAAGCTTACAACAACAACCAAAGTAAACATTCAAGAATAACTTATTCTAAGTTACCAGGAATAAATTTAATAGACTTATGTTCATTGTAATGTTTGTCAGTAGACATTTTGTTAAGGTGGGCCTGTTGGTCATTGACATCCCAACTTTACTCCCTGGCCTGTCCCTCCATGGTTTATATAAAGGCATGGTTGTGCCAGTAGTTCTAAAGGTTATTCCACAAGATGATTTTCCCCTTCAGAATCAAAAGCCTACCTCGGAAGAGATCACCATGATTGCAGAGCAGCTCAACATGGAGAAAGAGGTGATTCGAGTTTGGTTTTGTAACCGCCGCCAGAAGGAGAAAAGGATCAACCCGCCCAGCAGTGGTGGGACCAGCAGCTCGCCTATCAAAGCAATTTTCCCCAGCCCAACCTCCCTGGTAAGGCAGGAAACGGGGAGCTCGGGCTCATTTCACAGTTTACAAGGGACCCGCTCATTGTATTTCATAACAGAGTTTACTGTGAGAGACAGTCAGGGGAGCTTTGTCCTGTGCCGCTGACTGTTTACTTATGTTTGGATTTATTTGAACGAGAAAGAAGACAGTATTTTTTTTTTACAAAACTGTAGACATATTTTGTTGTTTTTAAAAAATTTGTTTTACATTCTTTCCATGACATCATTTCATTAAGAAAAAATTCAAGACACTCTTGCCCCCACAGAGTCAAACAAGCTGCGATTCACGGGTCCTCCGGAATAGTTTCCTTATTTAGGCTGAGGGAACAATTAGCATAATACTTCCCACTGACTTAGATTACATCTGACCCACCATTACTGAGATTGAGAAGTTTTTAAATTATTTCTGTGTGAAACCTGGGCAAAGCCACACGTCAGGCAAGAGCCACCTTTGACGGCAGCCTTTCAGCAGGTGCACATTTCTCAGTTCCAGGGGAACCAGGGGTCAGCGCAGACCCAGGAGGAATGAAAAAGCCTTCCCTTCTCAGGCCCGTTTACTTTATTCTATTTTTATTCTATAATATTTAAATTCTATCCTGGCATTGAAAATTTTTATAGGCAAAATAAGTCTATAAATGGAATTTTACATTTTTATTTTTA